AACTCGCGTGATATCTTTCGTACTGTGATTCGGTACCTTAGTAGTATATCGATTGTTAAAGCGATGCTTCGGATTCTGACCACGCCCGAGAATATCATGTAATGTGTGGCCTTGTTCATCTCGCGAATCTCTATCAGCATGATCCATCCGCTTTCACTTTCCATATAGTTTCATAATGATCCATATCGGAGTCAACTTTGAGCGATAGACAGTAGTAGGTACGGGATCACCACCAGGACTGCATCGTGAGGACAATACATTCCCTACCCTCCCTACCACATCCAACAGGTAATCCTTAACTCGTTGTGATCCGCTCTAAGGGGTTGCAGGCTTGACAGACCTAGATGTCTCGTTTTCAGTGACTACGCCCTCAAACAGCAGTACTCGGCAGCTTGGCGAGATGACAAAAGTAATACCATTCCTTTTGCGAATCTTACTGATAATGTGGAATGAGTCCGCGATTCGACGTGTCTGTGTTCTCTTTGAATGCCGTTTGATGGACATAATGAACTTCAGAGAATGAAGTGTGATGGAATCAGGTTAAACTGTGTTGTTTTTAGGAGACGCGAACTGTGTTGTATCGGGCGTTAGTCAGAACATGTTAGAAGGGGTGAGCCCGAGTATTCAACAGCTTATCAGGAAGGCTGCGGATAAGTATCCCCTCGACATGGTAGTGAGGGAATCTTGTATTATTGGGAAGGAGTATATCATCACGATAGAGCTCACTGAAAGCTACTCATAGAATTCACCATTTGTGACTATAGGGTGGAGTTGGTCGTAGGTTCGAATCCCAGGTCCAACATCTTGGACTCGTTTGAACACATGTTTTACTCTGCATTATATTTGCTACATCGTCGTCTTCCATGTGTGTATCGTATTTATTCATGTGGTTGTTTGATGTTGTTTGACATTTTTTTTCAGAAATTTTGGCGGAAGTATAAGTCGGTGCCCGCGATGGCTAACGTCCGAGACAAAACGTCGATTCTCGAAATACTGGAAAACTTTGCAAAAATCCATCGGAAACACATATACCTGTTCCAGCGACTGAAGCATACGATAGTGATGGATATGGATAGCTGGACCGCTCCTGAACTAGCAAAGTAGGAACGGACCTATTCCGTATCTTGTGTACTTAGAGCTTTGATATCCAGGGTGTGTACATCATGGGCTCAACTCGGATTCTTGACTGATCGATTCACTGAAGAGATGTCAGATCGTGTTGTGAAAACGATAAATTTGTGTGACGCGGAAGC